AAGGAAAATTTCTATGGGGAATTTTAAAAAAAGAAGAAAATGCATGGAATAACAGCAATAATAACAGTGTAATAGCAGTTATGTGAAACAATGGAAAAGTAATTGTCATGAACTATCAGAATTAAGCAAAATTCCTGTGAGAAATAAATAAGAAAATGCATGGGATAACAACAGCAATAGCAGATGATGATGCAGAATGTAGGAATTATTTTTGTTACATTACATTATGTAATTACGTATAATCGGGAATATATAGCATTCTTAAGTCATCCATTAAAAAAGTTGCTAAATTATAAAAATAAATTAAGTTTATAGGCATTAATTTTCTGTTTATTATTGACTCCTATCAAAATAAGTAAATAATATAAACAAATCACTGTTCTTTCTGTTTTGAACTGTGTTGTTCTTCTTTTAAATGCTGATTTAATTTCTTAGCCATGTGAAACTCTTCTCCAAAGTAGACTTTAAAAATGCAGAAAATTGTTAATAGCATTTTTCTATTAACTATAATATGAATTATTTCTTTTTCTTTTCTTTCTACCCCAATTTTGTGGGCATTGTCCATGGTATTACTCTGATTAATCAAGGATCTACTATGTATCAGTTCAGCTCAGCAGCAGCAGGGAAAAAAATTTTTCTTGCTATTATAATTACAGAATAAGTCAGTATTTCCCAAGTTTCATCAGGTTTTCCCTATTGGTTTTTAATATTTCTAGTTATTATTGTAATTTTGAGATAGAAGTTCTTCAAGTATCTGTATGCTTGCTGTAAATGTTAAATGTGTGTTGTAGAAGAAATGAATATTTGTATCTGTCCAATAAACATGCTCATGCAGTTATAGCAATATTGTTTTATTTAATGAAATGAAATTTCAATTTTCAAGCTTTTGTTATTAAATTTTTAGTTATCAGGCTAGCAATAATAAATAATGTAGATTGAGATGTCATTTATGTGGTTAATTTCACAATTTGTATTTCGCAAGCAAGAATATTTAATATTATATAAGTCACAGTACAAAGGCATAATGGAAGGTGTTTGTGATATGTTTTAGAACTGCACACTGAAGAAATAAAACCTGAACTTGAAGCAAAGCCATGCGTAAGTCACTATCATCTGTTGAATTATCACTAATAAGCAAAATACCTAATGCTAATAGTAATATAAATATAATGCAAGTTGAAAAATTTAATTAAAACTGTGTAGGACAGTCAAGAGGTTGTGAGATTTATAGATGAGAGTTAAAACCTTAGTACTGCCATAGTCTTTCAGTGCACATTCTAAGAATCTGGCATTAAATGTCATTTTTGTTTAAAAAAAATAAAAAAAAAAAAAATAGAGCACTCACATTCCTGACAAAATCATTTGCTGACTAAAAAAACATTTTTTAGGGTAGGGCTTATACATATATGTAACAAAATGAGGTTAAATTGAAGCTGCTTTATATGTCACAGTTTTTAGTTGATATGTTCATTTTAAACTAGGAACTGGATTATTTAATTTAGGCAGAGTTAACGTGATCTATCTGCCTAAACTCCATCTAATTTTGATGAATGGTTCTCTGAGGGAAATTTTAATTGAGGAATAATTCCTCAAAAAATAGCACATCTGAGGGTTGTTTATCCGTTTCATTCACTGCTGGAAAGTTTGTGGCTGAGATCTCATATGATCTGTGGGCAGATCAAGGAGACTCTAAAGATCAGGTCAAACAGCATAAACTGTGTTCGTGATTCCCTTGGTTTCAGAAAGTTATTTTCTAGGCTGGTGCTTCACTGTAAGCAGAAAAAGAGTTGTGGGCTGATTCAAATAAAGTAAAAAAATATAATAGGAAAAGTTTTTCAGAAATGTGGATGTATGTGTGTAAACCATTGTTTTAACAGCAAATGACAGAAGAACACAAAATGTCAGAGAAACAGAAGAAAAAGAAAAAGCAGTTACAAAAATAGTTATATCTTTTGTTCTATAAGTGACCAGCTTTAAGATGTGCCATCAAAGACATAAAATAAATACGTTTACAGCAAAATCTTTTTAAAGTGTTTGCTTATTCACACACTGCTTGTAAAAAAATTATGAGTAAAATTATCTAAAAACTAGTTTTTCACCCAGAAACTTGTAAACCCATGTGTAAAATTGTTCTACAATTTCTCCTGGGAGGGGCGAGATAATTTTTTTAAATACCATACTTGCTATATTAATTTATTTTATGATTTGATAAATTATTTAATTGCTATTTGTGAAGGAAGAGCTGAGAAAAATAGTTCTCATTATCAGATAAAGCTATAGGAGATTATGAATAATTTTTAATAAATGTTAAACAAGACCAAGGATTTAATTGTTTTAAGAATAGTTTCAATGAATAAAGACATACATATTCTCAAATAAATTTTGAATTAATTGATGAACTGTTTAATTAAGCATATTGAAGAAAATCCACTTTGAGGTGTTTATTATTTTCAGCATGTGATAAAATCATCTCTGCAATCAAAGATGTTTTGTTTCTCTTTAGTATTATAAAAATATTTTTCTGAATGCAACACAAATTGATCACATTTGACTAATTGCAAAATTTACAGCTAGACCTTCTGTTTTGGTTGCTTACACAGAGATTGCAAAGCTTTCTGCATGCTTGTTTTTAATTTATTTTTCAGACAGTAATATATTTTATTAATATTTGGATATTTTTCTGTGCTATTTATACTTTCAAAAAAAAAGGTTGTGGAATAAATAGAATTTTTAAAATTAAAATTCTTTTTGAGTTATAATTTTATTTAAGGAGGAAGATCTGGTTTCATGACCTGACACCCATGAATGCTTTTCTTATTAAAAAGCAGAGAAAACATTGGTGTTTTATACATATAAATATTAACAAATTTTGAAACTTTTTAATCGGGGTATGGGTCTGTAATCTAAAGTTTCCAGAACTTGAAAAAAACTTTAAAAATCTGAAAGCTTTCAGATTTTACATTATGCCCAAAGGTACTTTTTTTAAACTTTTTGTGTGTTTCTTTTATACACTCTTTTGCAAAAAAATCAAAGCACCATGAAGGAAGTGGTTGTTTTTAATGAAATTGAATATGTGTATAGCTCATACACAGATAATAAAATGATTAAAAAAATCAAGGTCATAGTACCTGTTCACTGCTCACATTCACCCATTGAGTGTTCAAATCAGTAGATGGTCGAACTACCCCTGATGGCAGTGCATGCTTGAATTTGTTGACGCAAGGAGTGGTAGAGGTTCCTAATGTCATCCTGAGACACATTTTGCCAGGCATTCCTCAGACAAGCACTATGAGATGATGGACGGTACCACGGGAGGTACCGACGTGGCTGTAGTGCATTGAACAGTCAACAGTGATACCATTGGGCCGGTTCGAACAATCATCCTATCTTGCCTCGCATTTGTGATCCTTGGCCTTCCAGAGCCTTCGTTTCGTCGGCAATTTTCTTGTAGCAACCATTTCTGCCAACATCTTTGCACAGCAGTGTCTGTACACTGCAGGTGGCAGCCTATTGCTCAGTGTGACTATCCAGCTTCAAGCAACCCTACTATGTGACCACGTTCGAAGTCGTTTAGTTGTCTGTAAGGTCTTCGATATCATCGTAATGGCATCTTTAGTTGCTTCTTTATGGAATTACACAGGCAGCAACAAAAAAAGATAAATTTTCCGCCTCTGTTACTGGTTTTATACTTTGCGAATTTCGCACTAGAAATGTGCACTGTGATCACAATTCATGTTCATTTGCCTTGAAAATTTGACCATTTGCATGTTTGATCAAAATGTTTTTGCATACCAAATATCATCACAATCGCAAAAATCCTTCTTGCTGCTTCAATGTTTTTGCAAAGAAGTGTAAATTAAATATCATGTTCTTCGCACTTAAACCATAAAATTCAATTCAACAGCAATATCACAAAATAATTTTAAAATGAGCATATCTTTAGAATTTCCGATACACAGTCTCATGCGCTGGGGATAAAAGTGTGTTTTTTTTCGTACAATGTTGCCATTGCTCACTTTGAAATTTGATTGCTCTAGATACTGTTGTTTTATCACAATGCAAGAAACATATCAGGTTCAATGTTCCTTCTAACCTTCTTCGGGAACATGCAAGGACCTGACTTGGAACAGAGAGCTTACTAAAGCTATGTTCAAAACTGTGGGAAGTAAACAGGATACACAAGAAGGGTATACAAAACCCTTTATTTTTCTCTATTTACAATGACTTCCGTACTTCGGAATACACCGACCCGCTACTTAAGGTCAAAACGTAAAAGTATAAAAATAAAACTAAACTCTAATTTAACTTTAGAATAATAAACATGGAAGATTGGCCTTATATTAACAGGAAGCGTATGTAGTACAGGGAACTGTGAACACTACAATACGTTTAAAATTTATCAAGAGGATTAAAACCTCTGGCCTGGAAGGCAACAAGCAACTGCGTAACTTCTAAGGTAAGCGGCCTGCTTCGACTCACTGCTTCCTCTCTCTCGCTTGGCAAAAAGCCACAACTTAAATACTTGGCGTTCGCCAGACAAACTTTGCATAAAAACCTTAACACTTATAATTCTGGCCGGAAGTAGAAAATAAGAAGTGATAGTAAAGATTTAAAATAAAATAAACGTTAGTAAAACTTAAGATCCTTACAAACATACATGCATTTATGCAGATTCTTCATTATTTGATATCTTTAAATATAATGCAGGGCTCTTAATATTTGGTGGCAGCAGTTTGAAAAGTGAGCGGACATTTATAATGAACCAACACAAAATGCCAAAATGAAATTAATGGCCCTTCTGGGCTAATGCCCTTTTGGGCTTAAAAAAAAATGTTTTTCACTTGGAACATTTGTAAGGCCTTTTATAGTAGCTGCTCATAATTTTGCATCTTCTTGTGAAAATCATGGTAAGTTAAAAGATAATTTTGAGGTTTTAATAACAAAACTATAGCATGTTATTGTTAAAAAGTTAATAAAAGTTGCATTGTCTGTTTTTACAGATGATATTACGTTGGATGCTGATGGCCAAGACACATATCGTTATGTCAAAGCTGCTGGTAGATACAAGTAAGTTTAATATTTTATTGTTTTATCATTTTTGCACAAAATAAATTTCTTTCATGTGTTTGGATATCTGAACTATCTGTGGGATTATCACATAATTATGCTTCTTTAGCAGTTATAATTTACTTCCCCCAACTATTTCCCATATCGTATTGCATTGTTTTGATTTCTGTGTGTAGTTTTATGCTTTATTTTATCTTTATTTTCATAAAATTTATTATCATATTATTTTCCTTCAAGTGTGTCCATCTGTGTCAGGTTAGTTTTAAATTTAAGAATTTAATTCTCTAGAATGTGTGTAAAACTTTTATCTGTGCATTCTCTTATATTGCATACTGAAAGATGTAATTTAAACATTTAACCTTTTGTTCATATTTATTTTAGTTTTATTATTTTAATTTTAGGGAATGCAAGAGAACTGCTGGAGTTTCTACAACTGATCTTGTTGGACGGTAAAGTTGACTTTTATTTGATTTTTAATAGAACATTTTAAATAAAAAATACTGTAAAAATATAACAAAAAATAACAGTAAATTAATAATAACATAAATAATAAAAATAAGTAAATTAATAATAATCCTACATTAAAAGGATTATGTGAAATTAAAAGGCTGTGCTGTAAATTATACCAAGGAACTTTTTCTCATTCTCTGTTTAAAATTCTAATAAACTAAAAGCAGGGGAATTTTATTTATCTAAACTAATATGAGGAAAAGCTGTTTTGGGATGTTTTAGGTAATTAAAGATATCAGCAAGTGCGTAGAATATTATATGTGTTAATGTTAAACAAAGTAAGTAAAAATGTTAGTGTCTACTTTTCATTTTAACATGACAATATATTCTACCATGTAAAATTTAATAAATAATCACTATTCAGTGACAGTTTTTTGCTGAGTTGGCCTACATATGGAAAAATCTAACATATAAGGTGGTACATCAGTTAATAGTAAAATCATAAGGAAAAAATCACGATAAACAGTAACAATAAACTATAGCTACAGATGAATTAGTGTTAAAAAATTAACTAAAGATTACAAATGGTCTTTGTTATCTGCCATGATCACCTTAAGTAGTGGTGCATATTTTGCATTACATGTATACTTACAGAAGTATACCAAATTCTGTAGTAGTATTATCCTTCCCTTTCCTCAAATGGTCCCTCCCATCTGCTGAATTGTTGGCAGCAATCATGGATGTGTTGCAAAATATTTGCATGGAACATCTCTTATGGGTTTAGTGCAATTTAGATTAGAACAAGCAGGTCAATCCATTTCAGTAATCCAGTATTTGCTGTGTCACTGCATCTAATTTTCACTGGATTGCTGAAAGTCACTTTTCAAATGTATACTACATTTGTATTATTTAAATTATATCAATATTTAGACAATGAGCTTAAGTCCAACATTATCAAAACACTAATGCTTTGATAATATTGGATTAAGCTCAGTAAAACTGCAGTTAGAGATGAAAGTCTTGCTGATGTGTTCTAATTATTGCACTGAATTTTGTTTATGTATTTTTTTACTGTAGAAAGTTATTTTCCTCAAATAAGCAGTATCAGTTTTTAAAATTAGAAATGTCTATTCACTGAGTCTTTCCAGTTTTTTAGTTCATATTGTATTACAAGGGCATCCATATGACCTAACAAATGTTGCTATTTTGGAAAGATATGTAATTTAACTTGGCTTGGTGGTAGCCAACTGCAATTTGACATGGCATAAAACCTGTATTTTTCAAACTATAATTGTAGTTGCTAAATAAACTGAAAGAGATTTAAAAACAATAAATATACTTCATAATAATTTATTGCCATTATTTTATTATTAAAATTTTGTTATATAATTTACAGTACACTTTGTTGCAGAAAAAAGTATATGAACCTTTCAAAAATTGAACTGCAGCCATGTGTAAATGTCCTTTAATAAAGTATGCAGATACTTAAAATTGCAAAGCTAGTTATCATATGAACTTGTTTAAAGTGTTTGAGATAGGTACATTGGGCAGTATTTAAAAGGACCTTTGCTTTCGTTCACTAACAATTTTAATTGGATTTTCTGCTTTGATACTTAAAGTAAAGATACGTTTGAAACATACTCATACTCTTTGAACTGGTCTTAACAGTTCACTACTAGATGTTTTTACTTTCACCACTGTGATGTTGTTGTCTTTTCCTGGGTATGTTTCAATCACACGACCCATAGGCCAGTCTGTTCTTTTCCTTTTATCGTCCTCTACAAACACTAAGTCACCTTTCTTGATGGTTCGCGAAGGTACAGTCTTTGGTTGATGTACTAACAGACCAAGATATTCATCTCTAAACCTTTTACGAAATTCCACACGTAACTTTTGGTGGTATCGCCATCTCTTCGATAAGTTGATTTTGTCCAAACTGTCCAGATCCAGAACACCTTCAGTTCGCACATCCTGAATAAACATAGATGGAGTGAGTGCACATAAATCGGTGGAATCTTCTGACTCATATGTTAATGATTTGGAGTTGATATTTGCTTCTGCATCACATAGGATAGTTAACATTTCTTCATATGAAAGTAATGCTTTTCCCAGGACTCTTCTCAATAATTTCTTGATCATCTGAACCAGTCTCTCCCACCAGCTGCCCCACCATGCTGCGGTTGGTGGATTTAACTTCTACTGAATTTTCATTATCGAAGAACTTCTGATAATTTGGTTCCAGTCAACAGATCGGAGCAAATTAGTTGCCTCTACAAAATTTGTGCCGTTATCGCTGTATACTACCCTAGGCCGTCCTCTTCGTGCTATGAATCTTCTAAATCCGAGAAAAAATCCATTAGTCGATAAGCTTTCGATTAATTCTAAATGAATTGCACGATAAACTCCACAAGTAAAAAGCAAGATCCAAGCTTTTCTATTTTCTTTTAAATAAAATGGTCCTGCTACATCAACACCTGTCACCTCAAATGCATAAGCATCTCTGACTTGATCTTCTGGGAGAGGACAAGGCACTGTATCAAGAGCTTTTGCTGAGTGTCTCTTGCACCGAACGCACTTCAATATGGCTCCTTGTACTGTTTTTCTTCCTTTTATTATCCAAACTTTTTGACGAATATTGGTCAAAAGAACTTGAGTTGCAGCATGTAAAAGTTGTAAATGGTAGTCTTGTATCATTCTTTCTACTAATTCATGTTTGGCTGTAAGTACAATGGGGCACCGGAAATTTACATCATCATGTCTTCTCAAAATCTTCGTTTTCAATCTTATAATCCCTTCTTCATCTCTGAAAGTAAAATGTCTCTTCAACTGTTCTTCACTAGAGAATGCTTCTTGTTGAACGATCTTCACTAATTTCTTCTCAGCAATGTCCAATTCTTCAACACTCAGAGTTTTGCCATAATTTCTTCCTCCATGTCTACAATTATTTATGAATCTTAGAATCAAAGAAATCATTCTCACAATTTTAAAGTAACTTGAAAAGTAAATCAGATACCATTTTTCAGCGGTGATATTAGCCAAAGTCGAAATAATGTTCTTTCGCTTTTCTTTCATAATTTCTTCTTCGTTAGTAATCACTTCACTAGTTGGCCACTCTTCATCGTTCTTCATAAGCCATTCTGGCCCTTGCCACCAGCGAGATTTCACAAAACTCTTAATCGAACACCCTCGTGATGGTATATCTGCTGGATTCGAATTTCCTGGAATGTGACGCCATTCAGATTCCGATGACAATTTTCGTATCTCTTTTACTCTATTTGCGACAAATGCTGCACAATGGTCATCTCTTTGGATCCAAGAAAGAGCAGTACTCGAATCTGTCCAATAGTTCTTTGGAACATTGTCTAATTTAAGTGTTTGTAAAGCAAGAGCTGCAAGTCTGACTTCTGTAGAGCAGGATAATAATTCTAGACGATTTATGGTAATTTTTCTTAATGAACTCACTCTACTTTTAGCTAGAAGACAATACACCGATACATTTTCACTTGTTTCTTTTCTTAAATAAATCACACATCCATAGGCTTGTTTACTTGCATCACAGAATGTATGAGGACTAAGACTTTCATTTCCATTTATATCTAAAGCCCTTGGAATTCTAATACTGGATAAAAGTGACAAATCATCAAACACTCCTTTTCTGTTACCCAAGGCAAATGAACCTCATATCTTCCCTCTTTAAAAATAACATAAAATAATTTAAAAATTCAATGCGGCAATTTCCATTTCCTTTCTATATTTTCTTTCAACAGAGTCTTGAATTCCCAATAAATCTAATTTCCACAAATTTTCAATCTTCCATGTGTGAATTAGTAAAGAAGTCACTGCGACGGCATTAGTCACATTTTCCTTATCGTCGATATGATCAAGACAATTTTCCCATTAAAATCCAACTCATTTTGGTTTCCATTGTAACTAATGTTGAGTTCAAACGTTCAATTTTGTCTTTTACTAATTTTCAGTAATTATCAGGCTCCAATGAGTAAAGATACATTGTTGTTATCTAAAGATTTGTGATCACATCCGCTAAAATTATTCCCCTATCTTTTAACAACTCCTTAATATTTTGCGGAGGATAGTCTAGCTTCAGCACTTCGATATTTCATCAGTCATCTAAAAACCTACAACAACAACCTGAATAATTAATTCCTGGTTATCAAAAATGTTTTTCATTTTCACTTCTACTCACGCACGCAGTTTCTGTTTGGTATAAACACTTGAGATCCGAAAGTATGAATCATTATTTCTTCTCTTTTCCCACAACTTTTAATCCCAGTTGTTTAGACAGACGTTTCTGAATATACGAGCGTTGACTAGTGCATTGTCAAATAAACAATGAACTAATTTATTGCGTGACCTACTTTTAAGTTCTACTGTTGCCATCTGTAAAAGTATTTTATTCCTACCGATGCTAATGTGATTGCATGCTGAATTTTCTACACCTTTTGATTGTGATGCTTTTGTTTTTTTCTCATTTTTGTAACAAAGGGTTGCATTATGTTTTTTGTGGCAGTATACACAAGAGTTTTTCTCAGAACAATCGGAAAATCGATGACCTTGAGCCAGACAAACAATAACACCTAGACCCTTGTCTAATCTCAGTACATTTCGTTTTTTTCATTTACACTCATATTACACTTTTCACTATTATGTGTGTTATTTTTGCAAAAAATACAGTTTCTTCTTTTACAGAGAGCTAATAATTCTGCCGCCGACGAGGGGTTAACTTTAGAGTTAAACGACTTATTGTTTGTGTATTTATAACTTACTTTTGTGCTTGTCGAAGTGTTTATTCTTTCCATTCAATGGAACGAGTTTCGGTTCCGGTTTGTTTAACTGCGTACGTTTGTTCGCGGCATTCAATTTCGTTTTTTCAAAAAAGCAATTAAACCTGTAACATCAGATTCCTCTTTTGGATCACGCTTTCGGTGATATTCAAGAATCAAATCATGAGGCAATAATTTCAATAATATCGGATTTAACAAGTGTCCATACGAACCTGAAGTTACTCCTAAATTACTTAAGCTTCGAATGTTTATTTCACAAGTGTCGTGTAATCTTCTTAGTGCATTTAAGTGAGAAGAATTTTTAACTGGTTCTATGTCCAAACGATTATTCCTATGTGATTTTATAATTTTCTTTGGTTTTCCAAAGTGTTCTTTTAAAAGTTCTAAGCACGAATTGTAATTTTGTTTGGTTAACTGAAATCCTTCAATGACATTATATGCTTGCCCTATCAATAATGATTTCAAGTATACGAATTTTTCAATCTTGCTTAACGCTTTGTTCTGATCAATCGCAGCTTGAAAACTGTTAAAAAATTTTAACCATTTTCCTGCATCTTCTGAGAATTTCGGAATATTTAACTTTGGCAATTTCATAGCTGATGACGATACATTTATTTCAGAAACAGAAGTGTTCAAAGAATTTGCATCTGATGCATTTTTCACAGACAAATTTTCATTACATTTCTTTAATCTTATTTTAATTCTAAACTTTGAAGACATAATTTGTTCATTGTATTTATCACTTGCAGAAATATCTTTTTCAAATTCTTTAGCATCTAATCTTCGAAATTCTAATCCAAAAGTCCCTTAGTGAAGGCACCGTATGCTATTTCTATAATCCATAGTTCTATTTGGGAGAGCTTTCGATTTGTATATTCAATTCAAATCACTACTTCAATTAAGTCTTAATGACTTTTATTTACACACATCTTTTATATTACAATATATACATAATTCGAGATTAATTTCAAATCAAAAGATGGGGATTATCCCCCCTTTGTATCAAATTCTATCAAGAGAAACTGAGTGAGTGACCGCTCTCTTCCAAGTTCATTTTTCAACTCCTCGTTGCCACTGGCAGAAGAGAAACTTTCGCTAATTTTGCGTTCGAGTTGTAACACATGTATGTTGACAAAATTCTGTAGCTTATTGTAGTGCCTATGTTGCTGAATGAAAATAATAACACTATCCAAACATCATTATTTTCCAGCAAGGTAGTGAACTTTCTTCAGTGATGTCTTCAAGGATTTAATACCCTTCCATAACCATTCAGAACATGTCTGGGAGTATACTGGGATTTCAAATGTAGCCTTCTAAAACTATCATTGAATTAGCTGACGTGATGCAAAATTTGTTGTAGAAACTTCTATAATAGCACATAAACATTTTAATTGATTCGAATTCACATTGAATATTATCTTGTATGACCACTTGGTAAATTTTACCACTTAAAATTGTAACCTTATTGTTGTCACCATTTCTTAATAAAATGTTTTTTGCCTCAAAATTCTAATCATTTGCATGTTTTCTCGAGTGATACAAACATATCAAGTTTATGTCCATTGCTCAAATTTTTGTATATTATGTTTTACAATAGAGTGTATATTAGTTTGATAATTTTTAGAAGTGTACACCATTATTATAATTTCTAAAATGTGTTTCTAATGTAATATATGTATTTTATATTTTGATACTGATTGGAATCACCATTTTTCCTTCTGCTGTTAATTATTTTTAATAATAGGTTTCTTATTCATAAATGCATTATATTTAGAATCATAAAATGTACCTATGTAGTAACTAAATTATTCGTAATAAAAATTGCACAAATAAGTTAATTTGTTTGTTATCTTTAATTTCTTATATATATATATATATATATATATATATATCATTCTTTCTTCCAATTTGCAGGATGCTTTTACTTACCAAACAGCATCATAACAGAGGAGAAAGAGAGTATGGCATTGATAAAGAACAAGCTGGCAACATAAGCAGAGTATGTTTTACTTACTTAAATGAATATCACTTATCTTTGCTTTGAGCCCATGCAATTTAAGTGCATTGAAAAGGTTCATATGGGCCTTTTCAAAGTCCTTAAAAGTTCTTAAATTTTTTAATTGATTTTTGGTCCTTAAAAGTCCTTAATTTTGGCCAAAATAGGCAGAAGATCCTTAATTTTAATCATCTGAAATTGCTGTTTGTTTCTATGACTGCCATTTTGAGTGTGAATTAGCTTTTCGGAGGAATATTTTTGGCGATTTGCTGACAAGTATGGTTATCTTTTGAATGGGTAAATGCATTAATAGGTTATAATTTGTTCCTATTTCTAATATAAATGTGAAATAGAGTTTCTGAGCAAAAAGTGAGACATAAGCATTTCAAAATTATTTCATTTTTTATAATGAAGAGCTCTTAAACAACTTTTCACTTTTGGGGATGTAAATTCTTTTATTTTCTTTTATTAAAGCGTTCTAAATTTGGTGACTTATCAACATTTTGACGATTTTAAGATCAGTTTCTGTAGAAATTTTTGAATTCCGAGATCTGGAAATTTTTTAATGACCTTTTTTTAGATCATTATAACATTGATAAATTTCATTAAAATAATGATAATGTATTGTAATCATGTTTAAGATATAACATTAAATTAAAGCATTTTATTTTCTGTCTTTTTATAAATTCCATTTTGGTCACTTATTATGCAATATTTTGAATCTGAAAAATAAACAAGGTATAGCAACGCAATTTACAAAACAGTTCTTAGCAATAACAAAATAGCTATGTAATTAATTTAAAATGTCTTTTTAATTTTTTCATGATAAGAGTTTTCCATGTAATTGTCTCAGAATATTCAGAATTCTCAGACTATGCATCAGTTTTCTCTATAAAATTAATTTTACACTTTTTTTCCTCCCCCCCCCTTTTTTTTCAAAATATTTCTGGCTTTTTGCTGTTACAGAATTGGTAGGGGTAATTTTTCTTTAGGATTTTAAACATTTCAGCTTGGAAAGTTTAGAAAGATTTGAAGGCAAGATTTATAGACCCATGATTCTAGAAGATTCCAGAAAAATGTGGCAAAATGGAAAATGTCTCCATGGTATATTAACATGTAATTTCTTACTTTTTGGAGAAAGTCTGTAAGAACAATGAATACGTAATAGTTGAATTTTTATTTCTGATACTAGAATTTTTTCTTAACATTTTTTTCTTCCCTTTATTTTCTCTACTTTTCACTAGACACAAGCATGGAAAATATAAAAATTACTTCTAATCTTATCATATGAATAGGCATTATAGAAAAAGAAGTATTTTTATTAATAAAGAATTTGAAAACTGACAATTTAAAAGATTTATCTAATGTGTCTTAATGCATCATGCACAGCGCTGGCATTAGGCATTTTCTCACCTGATGCAATCTCTGTGGATCCTAAATTCTGCTGCTTGGTGCCTTTCTAAATTCTGCCTGCAATGCCTGTTCTAAATTCTAAAAGTTTTGCCATTTCTAGATTGTGTTGCTCGGTGTGTCACTAAATTCTAAAAATTTGCCACACCAGCTCTGTAACCAGACCTTACCATATATATTTCATATTTCTTCTGAATTTTCATATTACTAGAGAAATAAAATTAGCAGCTTTTTCTATACATTCTAAATGCATTTAGGTTTTTTTAGAATAACAGAAATCTTTAATTAAATCCCAAAATTCTAAAATGTGAAGGAAACGTGGAAGAAAGAAACCGAATACATAAAGAGAAAGAAAATTATTCCTTAAAGATATGTACAGTTATTATTATGTAAATTACCCAGTTGTTTACAATTTCATCCTTTACTATAATTTCCCATTTCTATTTTCTCACCAGAATAAAAATCACTTAGACAGTTTTTAAACTGAGGTTTTTTGGAGTGTAAGACAAGAGTGTGTTTCTGACCTCTACTTGCTCCTTGCAATAGTTCCTGCCAACTCTTATAATTTGCAATTATTTGTCTTTGCATAACCACTGCCAACATTTGAATTTGTTATGATGATAGAGTTACTGAGCCAGCTTAAGATGAAATTAAATTGTATAGTCTTTGACCACTAGTCCATACTTTTAGCTTGAATTTGACTCTTCTTATTTAATTACATCACTATGAGCTGTAATTGAGTTTGTTAGCATATAAGAACATACCTTTATGTTCTACCTTCTTTTTAAATAAGAAGCTTATTTAAACCTGTCTGACTTTGTAGTTACTTTCAGACATAGCAATAATTTGTTTCACATGTGTTGGGGGGGTTGGACTACTTAACTTTTACCAGCTCAAGTAAAACCCTCATAGCTACCTTGTGGAGAGGTTGACAGGTTAGGAGATAAAACATGAAGAACTAGTGAGAACATTGTTTTGCATACTGAGACAAATTTCTGATTGTAGAAAAAATGCTTAAAGAGAAGGAAATCTATATAAATTAGCCAAAATGTCTGGGAAGGATTCAAATTAGAAAGATGCATAAATATTTTGTTGAATGTTGTTGTTATGAAACATAAATGGTTTGTATCTTTTAATGTGTAATTATCTAATATCGTTTAAGAATCAATGTCATAAATTACATGTATTTTAAACTGTGAAATTTTATTAGATTGTGATTTTAATAGGGCTTTTTAACAAATATTGCTAAAAAAGAAGTAAGATTTAATAGTGACCATGTAAATCCATAAAGACTAAAGTCATCTAATACCTAATTTAATTACTTATAACTAACTCCTTATCCTTAAAAGTTATCTCTGCATATTGAAGCAAGTTATTGCCTTTCATTTAACCGTTACCGTGGTCATAAGATAAAACACAAAAATGTAAAAATTCATGTAAAACTTATTCTTTGCATCTAGTAAGACTTTAATAATGCAAAACAACTTATCACCTCTGGTGCTTTAGTGGATTATTCGAACCTTAAAGTGTATTAACTGAGTTACAACCCCCGGAACTCTACACGAAGCTACGACACTAGCTCGTCAGGCAGAGCCCAGCTAACTTTCAAAACTTGCTAACCATGCTTATATCAGGCCTTTCAAGTTTGTTCTGATCAGCAGGTCTCTCTGTAGGGAAGCAGGATCGGTGACAACAGCCAGACGTTTGTTTTGAATCATGCTGAATATGATTTTACATCTCATTTTAACCTATGACATTTGACATAAAATTTACCTGCTATTTACTAAACCTCTAGACTTAAGTACATGGCAAAATGAGACATAAAAGACAAAAAAAAAAATGTAAAGCTGTTAGTAAAACATAAATAAAATGTCCCTAATCTTCTTTCAAACTATGTCCAACTATTATACATTTAAAATATTTAATGCTACCTAATAAACTTTATAAAGTGGATTTTATTCTCAAATTTGTTTTATAGTTATGTTTATTAAATTATGTTTAATAAGAATGCATCTTACTAATGGATCTATTTTATTCTTAGAGGGTTATTCAAAAATGAAGTTCAGACATCAGTTGATTGAATTTTAATTGAATTTATTCAGCTCTCATTTGCTGATAGGTCCTTAATTTTTTTCATTAATGGTCCTTAAAAGTACTTAATTTCCATGTGCAGAAATGTGTACGAACCCTGATTGAATGAAGAGATTTATATGCTTCATCCTGGAGATTATGATAACAAGTCAGGCAGAGTGTGTAGATTAGTAAAATGTCTGTATGGGCTTAAGCATTCTTCTCGTTGTTGGAGTAGAAGATTAAAATTTTCTTGTCACATTATGGTCTGAAGGAGAGCAAGGCTGATCCATGTTTGTTTTGCAATATCGACGAAGAACAAGTTATTACAAGCAATATTTGTTGACGATGAGTTTGTTGCCACTACACATAAGTTTAAAGTCAATTTCTTTCAATAATTGCAAAAAGAATTTAAAATAACTTATAAAGATGCTGAATTTTTCTAGAGTCTTGAGATAAAAAGGTTAAGTAATGGTGATATATATTTATTGGCCAACCAAATTATGCCACCAAAGTTTTTTAAAAAAAATAATATGCTGGATGTAAAGACTGTCTCTACACCTGTTGGGAAGTGTCAGCTTGCAGGGGAAGATATGATGATTAGATAAACTGTGAGAAAATTCCATACAGACAAGCTATTGGTACTCTGATTTACTAGGCTAAGGCTACTCGACCAGACATTACTTTTGCAGTATCATTTTGTTCACAGTTTTTGGAGAAAGCTGATCAGAGACACTGATCAATGATTAAGAGAGTCTTAAAATATGTTAAAGGAAAAATTAATTTTGAAATATTGTTCCAAAGAGCCTTCAGCATATTGTGATGTTGATTATGCAAACGATCTTAGTATTCAAAATCTAGTGTCTGATGCAATATTAAAATACATTGGTGGAGCTATCAGTTGGACAAGTTGAAGCCAACAGTGTATTTCTTTAAGCACCACTGAAGCAGAGTATGTTGCAGCTAGTGAGGCTACCAAAGATGTAATATGGCTGAAGTGCTTATTTGAATATATAGCTTTTCTGAAAGTAACCCCATCACTACAGGTTGAGAATGCAAGTGTTGTTTGCTTAACTAAACACCCAGAATATCATCAAAGAACTAAACACATAGATGTTAAGTATCACATTGTACATGATAAAGCTCTAAATGGTGACTATATGTTGATTATATCTCTGATAATGAACAGTTTGCTGATATTTTTAAAAAACCATTGTCAAGAAAATGTTTTGAAAGTCTAAGAGCTGCTCTTGGTATCATGAACATTAATTAATAAACTGAGTTCAAGGGGAAGTGTTAATATTGTGAATTCAAATTTATTTAATGCATTTATTTTATGCTTTTGTTTGTGCATTGTTTCCCTGAAATGCGTTTTAACTTTCTCTTATTAATATTTGTTTGCATGAGCAATGTTTAATTTTTGTATAATTAATTTGGCAACATCCTACTACTGTAGTTAAGAAAAGCTGTTTTAAAGAAACTGAAATGTAATATTACCACTCGTCAGCACTTTTCACTTCGTA